TTTAGACAATGGCTCATATGGAGTAAGATGGTGTTTTCGTTTTCGTTTGTAGCATTAAACTTTTAGACATGAGGGGATCTTTCTTCGTTTCATAAGTCTTAAATCCAAAGCCCACGCTGCACCTGGTGACTCGTGGAACCGATCAATGGATTGTATGGGAGCTTTTGGATTAGGATGTGGGGTTTAGGAGTTTAGTNNGATTTGGGGTTGAGGGGTTTGGGGTTTTTAGTTAGGAGTGGGTTCATGGCAGTTCAAGGTTTTGCGCTTCAGATGTGTTGGGCTTAGTAACTGAATGGAGGTATGGACCCCTCTACTAGTCCCTATATGGACAATAGTCTAAACTCCTTAAACTGGGATTATATAGGGGATTATATAGGGGACTACTATAGGAGTTATTAAGGGGGATACTAGGAGTTTAGACTTTGGCTCATATGCATCATCGCCTTTGATGATCCCCAAAGCTCTTTCTCCCATCCACAACTTAAGCAACATGGGAGCCACTGTCGATATTGAGCTTACCAGGGACCATTAAGGGTGGACATAGGCCTCTTTTTGGTAGTTTAGTATAGTCATGAATATATTCCCCAATGAGGAACCCATGTCCATTAATTTTCTGAGTAATGTTGACCGTAGCTCATGGAGTCTTCTGCACTCTATCTGGGATACCAGAAACAGTAGCAGTGATAGCAGCAGCAAAAAGTTGTATCTTGTTTATGCAAAGTCCTGATGCTGACAATGTTCAATCAAACAGGGGGTGATGGTGGCGGGCCAGGATATGCGGAAAAGGTATGATGGAGCAGTAGTTGGTTGGGAGCAGCCCGCGGGTCATTTCCTCTCGCAATCAGAAGTGTCATGTTTGTGGTTGTATTTCTGGGGTTGATATCTGTTGGTTAGAACGTTTTCTGAAGTTCCAACTGTATTTAACATGAGCAATTTCTATCTTGGGGTCTACTGTTGCTACGAAAAATCCAGAATGACCCTGTGTACCTTGTACCAAGCAAGCAGTGGTATTCTGGCACACTCAGGTCATGCAGGACTTTTAGCCGCTGGGTAAATTCCAAGTTTGGCTTCAGGGGTCATGTCAGTTGAGTAGTATCTTATTTGGGGGTACTATGGTATCCAATATAGAGTAAGACTACATCCTCCTTTTGGGTATAGTATCTTATATATACGGGATATAATCTTACTAGGTTCAACCACCAACCCTAAATCCTAAGCCCTAAACCCTAAACCCTACAAAAACACTACTCAGTTCACCTCAGGTCCTCGTGGCATCCTTGAATCCTGGACTCTTCAACCTAAAAACCTAAACTAGCTTAAGGCCCAAAAACCGACAAATCCAAACTATAACCCCCCTATACCCTAAATCCTCCATGATAAGCCTTGAACCCTAAACCCAAAAAAGGAAACTAAGCTTCATGAGTTGGCACCTGCTAGGAGCTGGGAGAGGCCCTGGCTGAGGCAGTGGCAGTTCCTGAGTTTGGGGTCTCTAGGTTTAGGGTTTAGGGGTTTAGGGATAGGGTTAATACAGGGGTAATTTAGGGTTTATATAGGGGTTATATAATGGTTATATAGAGGTTATGTAGGAGTCATATACAGACTATGTGGGGTTTTAGGGGGTTTAGGGCTTTTAGGGTAAGGGTTATGGTTGTAGGTTAGTATGGTCTTGGGTACCCTAAGCCCTAAAGTCTAAACCGTCGATATGGTAGTTTCCCAAAACAGGGGGGGCCCGCATCTATTTGGAATCCTTATTATGAGGACCCAGACTAAGGTACCACTGATTTCGGGAAACCCCCATATGGTGTTCCTCAAGAATACCGGTTGCTGAGGGGGATATCCTCTTCAACCGGCTTTTCCATTTTCCAAGGTGACACCACCAGCCGAGTATATCCTCGTGTTTAGTGAGGAGGGTGTTGTAGGGCTTAGGGTTTAGGGCGGGAGCAAGACTGAGGATTCTCATCTGGGAATACATTCGTACACTGATGCCTGGTCAGCTCCCTTATGCCCCAAGACGCACCAAATAGATCAACTAAACCCTAAACCCTGAACCCTAAACCCCCTAAACCCTAAACCCTAAACCCCCTAAACCCTAAATAGCAGCGCATGTGATCCCGGAGACGGCCTACCTTACCGGCATTGTAGGGTTTAGGGTTTAGGATTTAGGGTTTTGGGTTTATTGGATTGCTGTTTATGAACAAGGTTGAAGTTATCAGAATGGGAGAGTCACATTAACTGCCGTTTATCCGCATTCTGGTAACTAAGATGAAGGTCCTTCACAGCGACCTAGTTAAACCCAGAGAGCCCGATATAGCTTGATTAAGGAATATGCCTTACAATCTACTAGGACCCTTAACATGATTTAGGGTCTATTCCTTAATTCAGCTGTTTTGGGCTCCCTGGGAAGGTTAAAGGATGGCCCCATTTCTTACTAAGCACCTTGAGGTTTAGGGTTTAGGGTTCACCTAGAGGAACGTAATGCCTGAGTGACCCCAATCTCGACAGCCCTAAACCCGTGTGAAGCCCTTCAGGCTGTAAACATCTGAATCTCCAGGCCTCACAAGCCCTAGGATCCCCCAACCCCTAGAATCGCAAACCCCTGAAGAGCTAGAACGCTAAAACTTGGATGCTGCCCCCACTCATTGACAGATGGATAATACTTACATAATAAATGAATACATATGTATATATATATATATACATGTATATATATATCTAGAGGCCACTAACATGACCCCTAATATACTGTTAATGGGTTGGGGCAGGACCCCAAATAAATCCCTAGAAGACCTGAAACCCTGGAAGCACTTCCAGGTGCATGCTGTGGCGACCGCAGCTTCCGAAACCATTGAGTTCAGCCCGACAAGCCTGATGCGTCAGGTGGGTGTAAGAGTTTTGGGGTTTAGGGGTTTAGGGATTTCAGTAGTTTCTTTGAAGATGAGGGGACCCCAATATAGACCCCCAAATATTATATTCCTTGCTATCAGGACCCCCAAAATTTGAAATGGTACCCCTAATTTAAAGAAACCCCCTTTTAGAGTTTTGGGGGTCTTTAGGGTGTAGCGGTTGGGTCTTGGGGCTTAGTTGGTTCGAGGCCTGGTTTAGGATTCAGCGTCCAGGGTTTCAGGCTTAGTGTTGAGTTTTGAAAGGGTTATAGTGCCCCTTAAGTAGATAGAATATGGGGTATATGGGGATCTTATTACAATATACCCAAAGCCATATTCTATCTACTTAAGGGGGACTATAGGGTTGGGTACGGTCCCCGCCCAGTAACAGTTGGATTACGTTCGCATTATAAGTATGGATAGCCCGGGATATTCTCCCTGGCTGAAGGATTGCTACCACTGCCCTGGCCACCAGTTTGACAGGACGAGGATGCGACGCGATGGGTTGAGGACTAGCCGTGGTGAAGCGCGGGAAGCGGGAGATAGCCTTGTCATTGCCTTTTTGTCCGTTGCTGCCTGCCGAACCGTAGGATGGCTGACAGGGCACTTGGGCAGGGTAGCCGCATGTTCTTTCTGAAGCTCAAGAAGATCAAGTTGAAGGGTGAGGCGGTTGGTCCAATCTGGAAGGAAAGGAATTACGAATGCATTGGTTTCAGACTGCAAAACCCAGCCTATGAAAGGTCCGCATGGGCAACTTTCGATGCGGATAATTGGGTTGCTGAAGGAGGGAGCTTAAGTTACCACAATATATGGTATAGAGTGAATATAGGGTTTCCGTATCATAGTAACTTAGTTTAAGTTCCTTAACAGTAACCCAGTAATGGGGCAATTTGGGGAAGCAAGTTTGATAGGTTGTCATGTTCTCCCCCGACAGCACCCGCTGACACCCCACAAGAGCCTGCTATCAATAGCCTAAAAAACATTCCAAAAATGGAGAAAATGATGACTATGAGGATAAGCATCATCGCCTTTCTGCTCTTACTTTAAGACGACTCTCAGCATCGCCAGAGCTGCCTTTGCAGGATGTGGTGAAAATTCGCGGTGATGCGCAGAGACGTCTACGCTGCATGAGGACAGGGGCTACCATTTGGGAGTTGTGAGGCCAGTTAGGCCGACTTGAGCAAGGGCCTCCCACATGGGAGTTCTGAGGCCAGTCTCTTGATTGTTATTGGATAATTCTTCCTGGCGTTCACGGGAATGACGAGGGGCTGTATTTCGATGATATGGCGAGCTCAGCAGAGATTCTTTAGGGTTTAGGGCAAGTATAAGCGGGTCTTCGGGTCCCACAAATTAAGTCATGATGCTTGCCATCTCAACTTAACCCCACTCAACTGGCAACTACCCAAGATGGCCAGGCTTTGCTGAACTCTTGCGGATAGGACCACAAGAACAAACACAACAGAAAGGAAATCCTCAATCCTGAGATTCTAAACTTTGTCATCATCCCCAGCGCGAAATTTGCAGTACTGATTAGAGAGAGAGAGAGAGAGAGAGAGAGAGAGGGATAGAGGGAGAGGGAGAGAGAGAGACCTTTTGACAGCGAGCGCCCTCTTTTTTCTGGATAAGCAGAACCGTGAAAAACCAGGCCCAAACCGCAACCCTAAGCCATACACCCCGAACCCTAGCCGTAAACTGTACACCCTATACCGCAAAACCTAAACCCTACACTAGGGTGGATACTAACAATCCTGCATGACCCTAAGTACCTTTTACCTTGGGAATTATGATATTATGGTCAGTTATGGTACAGTTAGTTCATGCAGGAATTTTAGTATCAACAGTATGACCTTAAACCCCAACCCCCAAATTCAGGAGGATATTGGAGAGATTCCACCCTAATGCCCAAAACCTCAACTCTAGACTATACCCAAACCTTCAACCCCTAAATTCAGGAGGATATTGGAGAGACTCCACCCTAATCCCCAAAACCTAAACTCTAGACTATAACCCCAACCCAAACCTTCAACCTTTAAATTCAGGAGGATATTGGAGAGACTCTATCAGCTCCTCCAAACGGACATGGAGAACACGGCAGAGCAGGACCATGCTCAGCCTCCGCGCACTTCTGGAAAACATGTGAGCTACAGTCTAACCTCCTTAAAGGGGTTTATATAGGTTTTATGGTTTAGGGTCTAAACTCCTTACAGGGGGTTGTATAGCGGATGATATTGGGGAGTTTTATAAGGGCTATAAGGGGGGTACAAGGATTGGGAGTCTGGACTGTAGCTCACGTGGCGGGTGTAGAGTTTCTGAACTGCAGGGGTTTAGGGATTCGGGGTGTAGGCTTTATGACGGTTGGGCTTTATGATTCAGGGCTTAGTCTTCACGGGGTCACAGGGGAAGAAAGCCGTCAAAGTACTTATGCCCAACAGTTCCTGTTCACAGTTACTATTACGGAGTGCATGACAGCCTCGCAATATACCACCTAGTGGGCCTCTCGCTCCTTTGCTGCACCACCCATGATGAATCTACACCAGCTGGACGGTCCGAACCCGCAGACCCCAAACCCCTAAAGTCTACATCCCTTAACCCCTAAACTGTAGATTCCTCCAGTATAGGATCCAGCAAGTTTCGGCCTTGAATCTAGAATCTTGAGGAGGGGTTTCGGGGTGTTGAAAGAGGGCTGAACCCATGAGATTGCGTCGCCGTTTCGGGCTTGTGGGGCGTAGTTGCATGGGTGTGGTCCATTCCCAAACTCCTGGCGTGCTGCGCGCTGCCGAAAACTCAGAGACCCTCAAGCAAGTTTTGATCCTAAACCCTCAGCACTAAAGCGGAAAGCCTACACCCTAAACCTCCAACCTTAAATCCCCAACCCTACATTTGGGCAGGTTTATTCCACACTTCGCTTCTGTGGCGTGCTGCTGCAGAAACCTTCCAGCGAGGCTCTTTGCAAGTGCTTCTTGGAGGTTCATGGGAACTAGGGTTTAGGGTTTAGGGTTTAGGTAGGGTTCATGGGAACTACCACCCGCTTGAGGGCTTAGTCGCCGCATAAAGCCCTTAACCAAAATCCTTAAACCCTACACCAAAACCCCAACCCTAAACCCTAAATAGTAGTTTCCATTTTATTTTCCATTATCCCAATACAACCCCAATATGATCCCAATGGAAACCCTTAAACCCTAACTTCTACCCCAAGAGCTGCCCCAAGCATAAAAAGTAGGGGTTTCCCAAAATTAGGGGTACTTTTCAAAGGCATGCAGGGGGTATATAGGCTTATACAGGATTTAGGGTTTCGGGTTTTTCAAAAATATTGGATTTTTTGGGGATCTCATAGTAAGCATTGTAATATTTTGGGATCTATATTGTGGTCCCCCTATTTAGGGAAACTACGATGTTGCGTTGTAACTACGTAGTTGCATGAACCTCCAAGTTGTTGTGGCCCGGCAATGACGTCCTTGGCTTGCATCTGTGTTTCTGGGCAACTTATAACGACTTCACCCCATGTGGTGGTTTACATAGACTATTTCTAAATCAGATGGTTTATACAGAAAATAGTCCCGAAGAGCAACAATTCTGGTGGTTTATGTCTGAGATAGTAAGATCTATATGAAAGATATTCCCAAGTAGCAAAAGTTCGGCTTCGGATCTTACTGTGCAATGGTCAGATCATCTCTCTGCTGCTGAAGCTTTGTAAGGGATTACAATAGTACCCCCCCAAAGGTAACCCCCCTAAACCCGAAACCCTAAACCCTAAACCCCAGGGTTTAAGGAGCTCATACGGATTATATAGGGCTTAATACTGCCTAATAGGGTTCTAAATCTGGGGGTGGTACCTTTGGGGGGGGGTACTGTTGTAATCCCTTATTTTGGTGCATGTGGTTGGTAGGGGATGGGGGAAGAGATAACTGTATCAGTCCATATGTAGTTTCCTAAACCAGGGGGGTCCCCATATAGACCCCAATATACTATAATCCTTACTATAGGGACTCCCCCCAAAAAGTACGCCACATTTTTGAAAACCCCCCATATATAGTCCCAGTTCTACCACGTGCAACAGTCAGTGCGCGCATTCGCAACTAAGTATGGGTAAGTTTTTCTGTGCCTGCTCTGTCGACGTGCCTGCTCCTCAGATGCTTGGAAAACAGACAATACAGGAAGGGTGTTACATAGGGGATATATAGGGGTTATATTAGGATGATGGAAACTTAAATGGAAACTACTATTTAGGGTTTAGGGTCCAGGGTTTGGGGATGTAGCCACTTTGCACTTCATTCATCAGAGTGCGTAGTCCAACCTGTAATGAGTGCTCGATCAGTGTCTGTCGTTGCGCTTCGTCTTTGATATTGAACAGCAGCATTTCTGCACCGCATATAGTATCAGCCATGGTGAAGACACGGTTTTCGTCGGTTGATGTCCGAGCGATGGCCCCTTGAACGAGCCAGGATCTGTGGTTTTGCTATTGTTTTCCATAGCTTGAGGTTGTGATCCTTGCGATGTACTTCTCACCAGCAGCATCCTTTGTAATAGAAGAAGACCGATCCTGAGGCGTCCTAATTCTCTTGGGGGTTTCTAAAACACGTCTCTACACGATCATGAAGTGGAAGGGCCCTTAATGTTTTCGTAAACCGCGTATCCCTGCACCCGCCAGGGGCACTGTAGTGCGATATCCAAGGTGAACTCGATTCGCCCCTCAGCGGTTGGGTGCAAACTGGCAAACATTTACGACATTAACTCGAAAGTATACCTCTTGAAGCTTCAGCGAAAAGGCGCGGTGTAGGGTCTAGGGTTTAGGTTGTTCTCAGGAGAAACCGATGGTTGAGCAGTCATTCCTCCTAATAGTTACCCCCGAAAAACGGACACCCGAAACTATGGAAGCCTTAAACTCGGTATCTTCTTATATTGCCCTGTGTACATCTATGTTGGGGTTGTCCGAACACAAACCATGCTTCTGCAAAAGTTTGCGATGGATTTTGGACAGCCCCTATGTATGTCCCAAGTTAATCAGGGATAATGATCAGGACGTCTGGCAAGGGGCGAGATTCTGCTTTGCCATGGGTTCAGGCACATCTTAAGACGGAAATTATGTGTACCTGGCAGACACCTGAAAAGATAGCTTCGTAGATGAACAATGCTCTTCCCGAGTTGCCTTCCGCCAGGCTTCCGGTGTCTGCTCCTCCTGGAAAGCGGCGTTCGCTTCCACTTGACGGAGTACCAGAGAGATAAATCATCCATCCCTTCCAATTACACCATGAAGTTGCGGAAGCACCTCAGAAACAAGCGCCTGACAAACATCAGCCAGTTGGGGGCGGATCGAGCTGTGGATTTCCAGTTTGGTCGGGGTGAGACTGCCTTTCACCTGATCTTAGAGATCTACGTAACAGGCAACCTGATCCTAACCGACCATGAGTATCAGATCTTGGCTCTCCTTCGAGTGCACTCGGATCAAGATACAAAGGTGGCGGTTTCTCAACGACCTGGGTTGCTCTAGAGGTCGTGATTTTCAGGGCTGACTTCGGTTGGAGGTATATTAGAGGCCTTGAGTTTTCCCAAAGTCCTATGCCTAAGCCTAAGCCGTTTCGAGAGACTCCCAGGTGGCCATGCGCCAGACCTATCCAGTAGACAAGGCGATGGGACTGCTGAAAGTTCCGCTCACGGAGTTTGCGGATGAAATGGAAGACATCCTGGATCTGGCAGCTGCGAGGGCTGAGAACCAGGAGGTAAAGGAATTGGAAAAGGATGACGAGCAAGCTGCCAAGGATAAGAAGAAGGGAGTTGAGTCTGCCTTTGCAAAGAAGTCAAAGAAAAGAGTGCAGCACAGTGCTATGCCAGTTGTGATGCTGCTTCACAAGCTGGCCCCCTTCGCCGATCCTGCGCTGTGTGCAAGCTGTGTGGCGAAAGTGTCCGCTGCGAAAGGCAAGCCGCTGCAAAATGCCTTCAAGGTGAGCGGAGGAAATAAATGCCGCCGTCAGAGGGATTGGGGATTAAAATGCTAGGGTTCGTGTAGAACCTCTCCAGGAAGCTTATCATGGGGATCGGTCCATGGGTGGCATGAAGCATTTTTTAAGATGCCTCAGGTCACCGTGGATGACATGTCCTTTGAGGAGCTCGTAGAGTTGCAGCAGGAAGCTGCAGAGATGCTCCTGGACACGCTGCGCAGCGTATCGCGCCCGGATGACCTGGGAGGGGGGAGCATGCCCCAGCTTGCTGTAGCGGAGGCAGAGGCTGAGGATGATCTCAATGACGGAAACGATGAGGATGAGGAGGAGGCCGTGGAAGGGGGAGAGGCCAAGGAGACGCCTGAAGAAGCTGGGTTGCTGTTAAGGAACTTGAATTAAGATTACTGTCATAAGGAAGTCTTATTATCTAGCGTGCACCCATATTGCAGTATGATAACTTAATTTAAGTTTCTTAACCCTAAACTGAAACCCTATATATCACATATATCCCTATCTACAGTACCCCAATATAGTTTAAGTTCCTTAACAGCAACCCAGGAAGCAAAGGCTGATGGAAAGCCAGGCCCGCCGCCAGAGGCAGATGCTCCGGTTGTCCCGGGCTGGATCCTTCGTAAGAAGGTACAGGGGGCTCAAAAGGTGGGATGAAGGTAGGTGGGGTAAAGGATCCTTAGTATATACTGGACTGTAGTGGGGCTTATTTTCTATTCCCCACCTTCCTTCATCCCACCTTTTGAGCCCTTTGAAAGGTGCACGCCCCTCCTGCGGAAGCGACGTGGACCAATGAGGAGTTCAGCCCGCTGGAGCCACCAACTGCAGAAGACCCTGAAGCTGGGTTGCGGTTAAGGAACTTAAATGAAGTTACCATACTGGGTAGATATATATATATATACAGATAGGGTTTAGGGTTCAGGGTTTAGGCTTCCATGGGTATATATGAGCTATAGTCTAAACTCCCTTAAGGGGGTTTCTACAGGGGATTATATTTTTTGGACTACTATAGGGGTTATTAAGGGGGATACTAGGAGTTTAGACTATGTCTCATAAATATATATATATATATCCAAAGCAATGCATATGGTTGATCCCAATATAGTAACTTGAATTAAATCCCTTAACCCTAAACCCTAAGCCCCATATATCCTTACATACCCCCCATAAATTGACCCCCTACATACCCTTCTGTAGTCTCCTTAGGAATTGTTCTTAATTTCTCTTCTAGTAGAACCCTCAGGAATTATTGAACATATCTTTTGTTATAGGTCTAAGGAGACGACAGCCTTACTGTAGCACCTGCCCCCGGGCTCTTATGTAGTTCCTTTTTGGGTTTGTTATGGTTTTTTGGTAAGGGATTACAATATACTACCCAAAAAAAGGAACTACATAGGAGGGTCTGGGTAAAGCCTAAACCCTAAACCCTAACCCAGGATGCCATTATCGCCTTCCCAAGCTTCCACAGATGTGTCGATGAATTCTTTACCCAGCTGGAAGAGAACAAGGCAGTCGAGCAGAAGGCCCGGCAGCCCCAAAGAATGATAGGGTTTCAGGGTTTAGGTTTTATAGGGTTTACGGTTTAGAGTTTACAGGGTTAACGGTTTAGGGTTTACAGGGTTAAGATTTGTATGTAGTGTTTCGGGTTTAGGGCTTACCCTGGATGGACTATCAACCTTGGCGTCCCTGCGTGCCTAGAATTTAAGGCTTTGGGCCTAGGGCTGATGGTTTAGGATGTAAGGAAACATGTAGTTCATGATCCCTCATGAGAGCGGCTCCCATGAAGGTAGGTTTTTGCAAACTTGAACCCCGTTGTTACCCCATATATGTGTATGTATATATATGTATGTCTGTATATATATATATATATTAATACTGTTCGTTAGCTAATTCCTTAGACCATTGTACGAGCCGAGAAAAAGCTCTTTAAAGCCTGTAAAGGCCAGCCTAAAACCCAAAACCTTAGACCCTAACCCAGACCTTAAACCCCAGACCCCAAACATTAAGCCCTAAGTCCATAAACCTCATTATTTCCTATTATACTATAGTAATTTCCATTTTCCATTATCCTCATATAAGATCATATATACAGATATATGTATATATACCCTATAATTCCCGTATACACCACATGATTCCTGCATAAACCCTATAAATCCTATAAACAATATAATTCCTATGTAAATCCTATAAACCCTGAACCCTATATACCTTAAAACCTAAATCCTATAAACCCTAAACCTAAACCTTAAACCCTATAAATCCTATCAACACTAGAGGCCCAGCACGCCCAGAGCGTGATGGCTCGGGTGGATCGTATCCGGGCCGATCAGGGTCGCCGATTGCTGGAGCTGGAGGCAAAAGGGTTTAGGGTTTAGGGATTGGAGTTTATGGCTTGGTGATTATGATTCATGGTTTAGGATTTAGGGTTTAGGGTTTAGGGTTCCCAACTCTGGGGCCTGGGTTGGAGATTACTGGGTTGCTGATAAGGAATTTAACTTAAGAGCCTCCGGCTCAGTCCGTCGACCCCAGAGGCGGAGAAGGGACGGACGCGGCGTATCAAAGCGACGACGCAAACGGACCACGCCACGCGGCAAGTGGAGAGTCGCAACGTGGCATGAACGGTTGTGACAGGACGCCGCACCGCTCAGACGTCAGTGTTTCGAGCAAGCGCGCGCGAACGCATGCGCGCGGAATGCCCGTATATGGGGTATCCGGGCGCACAGGCGCAAAACGGGTTCCCGCCTCAGCACGCGTGTGCTCGAAGAGCTCGCAGGAGACGGCGTCGGCAAACGACCAGAACATACGGAGCCGCACAAGCGGCTAGTTCGGAGGCGCGTGTGTGCAAGCGACAACGTGCGTGGAGGGTCGCAGGCACGGCAAATGGCGCCTGACGTACACGCGTGTGCATTGCGCATTTGGGACAAAAGGGGACAACCTTTGGCCCAGGGGGGGACCAACTTTTGGTATGACACATGTCGAACCGGATTGGGGCAGTGTTGCTTCCACCCGAAAAAGGAAAAGACTTTTGGCTGGCGAGCCCCAAGACACATGTCAAATCGGATCGGGGTAAAATTGCTCTGGCAGGGCTGTAAAAGTGCACGCGACGGCTGCGGAACCTGTGCGGGAATCCGCTGCGGACGTAGACACACGTGTAGTCCGCGCAGGCAACGGGTTAACAAAAGTGCACAAAACGTCACACGACCACCAGAACACGGGTGAAAAAAAAGGCCGGGCTGCTTCACCCTGCGTTTGGCTGTGTCCAATCCTTGATGAGAGCTTGCGTAGATGACCGCCGCTGATGAGAATGTTGGGCTGGGCCATAGCTTACCCCTCCCCACGTGGGAACCCGCGCCCCAGGAGTCTGGGGCCTCAGGGCTCCCAGAATCTCCCCCACGTGGAGGGAGCCTGGCCAGTGGGTGGGAGTCGGCACGGAGCCTGGGTACCCCCTACCCCCCGCTGTAAGGTACAAAATACAAAAGAAAAGGGTTTTCACCCTCTCCGTCTACTGAAACCATCCAACACGCCCCCCAAGATCGGCGGATTTAAGTTACTATATTGGGGAAACCTTATTATTTACGATATATACCCATTATGGTAACTTGATTTAAGTTCCTCAACCTAAGGTTAGGGTCTAGGGTTTAGGGAATGGAGTTTAGGGTTTAGGGGTTAAGGTTTAGGGTTTAGGGATTCTGGTTTAGGGTTTAGGGTCTAGGGTTTAGGGATTAGGGATTGGGGTTTAGGGATTAGGGTGTTTAGATTTTAATCACCTACCCCTGATACTAAAAGCACACCCCCACAGCCCCAATGTTAGATATTATCATTGTGGTTCATTTGTGGTACGCTATAATATATAAGGAAGATTTATCATTAGAGGGGCTGGGGCCTTCGTGCTAGGGGGAGGGGAGTCCTATGGCGATTTAAAAGTTACCCTTAGACCATCAACCGTTATTCGGTTTCTAGGCTCCTTGTATATCATAGATCTCAAAATGGCGCGAGCGGAGATCAAAACTCTCCTTATTTAGAAGCCAGGGGTTTTCAGAAACAAGGTTTGGCGTAAGCAAAGTGTTGTGTTTCGACAGTATCATAAGCAACCGTGGCAAAACGCCGTCACTGCAGCGCTTTTTTTGTTGGTATTGTTGCTAATGTCTGAAGCGCATCAGTCCTTGCAGTTGCAGCAGCTGCAGCAAGCCAGCGTCAGCGGCGTAAGTGGAAACAGCAGCAAAGTCATGTCGTAAGCAAAAGCTTGGAAAACGCAAGCTACCATACGCAGTTTTGTTTCCGAAAAAAATGCAGTAGCGTTGCGGGCACTGCTCAAGTGGTTATTCCTGTAGGCCCTTGTTACTCAGGCTTAGGGCATCGGGTTTAGGGTTTAGGGCTTTGGGTTTAGCATTTCACGGCTTTGGGTCACGGCTTAGTCGGAGGCTTGGGCACCCCTTTTCACGCAGGGATTCTCGGGGTCTCTATTCAGGCTTCTACATGACAGATCTTGAGAAGAAACTCCCATCCAGGCCCGGGGTGTATGGCTTTTGGGGTTATAATCGGTCTTTCCCTGTTTCAATATGGTCTTTATCTGCGTGTTACTGTTATTGTTATTCCTACTCTCTTTCTGGCCATCATGTGTTTTTCGCAAGTTGCATCCCAAAGATGCAAAAGTGAGGGTTTCATTTCGAGGGTACATCCTGCATCCTAAGCACGTAAGCTCTAAATTCTAGTTCCCTCCAACAAACTAACGCGGAACCTGAAAACGGGCTCTACGAAGGTTTCTGGCCTTTTCAAGAGGCCTTGTTTAGGGTTCCATTATTTTTGGGAGGGTAAGCCCCAAATCCCAAGCCCCGAGCCCTAACCCCTAAAGCCTAAAACGTGAAGTTTTAACCCTCCATGCTAGGCTGAGCAGCAGGCTTCTGAGCGAAAGGCTCGGGGAAGTACGTAGCATACATAGCGAGTATTTGAGGAGCTGAGTATAAGATGTGGAGTATGGGGCTTTCTAAAACTACGGGACCCGGAGTCCCTATAAGACGGATTATAGTATCATTGGGTTCTACTTTGTCTCTTCCACTTACGGAAGCTCTTATGGAGCAGTAACAGCAGAAAATCAAACTGAGAACATAGAAATGGCAATGGCGTCTGGGTTGCTTTGGGTATGGATAGAGTTCTTCTAGTCTTGTGTTACTTAAGCTATATAAGCCTTATCTGGGAGTATGTAAGGACTGTAGTTTCGGAGTAGGTTGTTCTGACAGCGGGTGGGTTAGTGTTGTATTATTTTTTTTGCTGAGTGTGTGATGGGCTTCCTTTGAATTTCGTCCTGCCATAGAAATAGCTTAGAGAGCACGCTAAACCCTAAATCCCACAGGGGTGACTCGAGTTGTCAAGCTGTTGGGATTAGGGTGTGGAGGAGGGAGGGGTGTCCTTCATGAGAAACCCTAAACCCTAAACCACATGAGCAACTGTCACTATCAGCCCTCTTAAGGGATCCTTAGCTAGGGTGATAGGGCCCTTCCGGAGGACATACCTACCCGGGTAAATCAACATGCTTCATTACACTCGTGTTGTCTTGCGTCCAACTGCCTAGATTTGAGGACCCCGTGGCTATCATATGATCCTGTTGGGGTTACCACAATCCTCTGTCCCCATAAGCCCCTACAGAAACCTAGTTTCCGTTCCGTTTTTCTGTTCTTTTCTGTCTGATGAGCCGTTCTTACTGTCATGCACCTCTTGTGATCTCTTATAATACTATCTGTATTCTCTGGTTCATTGTTTTGGCCCCTACACCCTGTTTGTAGCCCATCCCTGTATATCCGCATATATCCCCATACATCCCTGTATATATCTATACATACAGATATATATATATATATACACCCAAAATATCTTGATTTCCCCCTTTATACGCATATATATATATATGTGTACCCAAAATGTCCTGATTTCCCCCTTGATACGCATATATATATATATGTGTATATATGTATACACCTATAAAATGCCCATATAGACCCCCATATATCCCTCTATATCCCAAAAATAATATACCCACATTCATACATCACTATATGTATATATATATATAATATACTTACCCCTAGGTACACATCCCCGTATGTCCCTGAAGGCCAGCCTCATCGAGCGCAACGTGGAGCTTGTCGACCGTGCGCTTGCTATGCTGAACGCCATGCTGGCGTCCCAAGTGGCTTCGGTAGATACAGAGCTTAGGGTTCAGAGGTATGTAAGGAGATATAGGGACATGTAGGGATATGCCCGGACACATATGGGTATGTGGGGATATATGGGGACATAATGGGTTTCGGAGTTTTATGGGCTCATGTTAAACCCTCCCAGAATAAACAGTCCCCACCCCCCTGATAGTAGATGTTTCCATTGTGGTATACGAAAAGATATTAATAGAGGGGTGGGCGATATCAATACTAGGGGAGGGGATTGGTTGCAAATGCAAAGTGGAACACAGGAGATGTTGTTGGTGCAAATATACAACAGGGACTGCTTTCAGGATCCAGCTGCCAATTCCCTACCAAAACGCCAGACCTTAAATCCTGAACCTTAATCTCTAAACCCTAGGTTTCCCTCCTACTCTCCCTATACTACCCCCGGAGATTTTGCAAATTAAGCGGGAACTTTGGGGGAGGGTAGTATGGGCGGGGGTTTTAGGGGGAACCACGACCTACAATGAAATCAAATGATAACAGTCACATGATCAGAACACTAGTATTTACCCTGAACCATGGGATAGAAAAGGGTAGCAGTAAGATAATCATGACAACAAGATGTATGGTTTAGGGGTTTTACAAAAATAGCAAAGAGATGGATGGTCCATACCAACTCTATCTACTTGCCGCCAGCAAGGTTGACTGGACGGAGCTCTGGCGAGAAGTGAAGCGACAGCAGCGCTTGGGTCATCCCATCGCAGAGCACATCCACTCCCTGAACTTGGAACAGACCCTGAGCTTCTGGTTTTGCGGTTTTAGACTCCCCCAAGCTAGACTTTTCACTTTTGAAGGTTTATGTGGTTTTAGGGTTGTACTCCTCCAAAACTAAAACATGAGCTGTTCTCTTCTGGTCTTTCAGGATGCTAGCTTCAACAGGGTAGGTTTGAAAATATCTTTAAAACATGTTGCCTTCAATTCAAAAAAGAATCCTTTTAAAGCCATAAAATTCAATTTCCATTGGGCCCCAGATCTACCTTACTTAAGCTTTCCCGGTACTTACCACTTACAAGCAAAGTGTGCTTGGGGAATCTCAGGAATGAATTCAAGATTCTGCTGGCCGACGTGGAGGAAGAGGAGGTAGAAGATGAGGGAACTGATGATAAGCCGATGGAAGTCGTAGCGTTGAATCTGAACTTAAGTGCCCACGCCAACGTTGCGCGGCTACACTCGAAGAGGAAGGAAACACGAGACAAGACCTCTCGCACACAAACTCACGCCGAAGCTGCGATCAAGAGTGCAGAGCGGAAGGCACACCAAGACCTGCAAAAGTTTGACTTGAAGCAAACTATTCGGCGCGTACGCCAGACCTGGTGGTTCGAGAAGTATATCTGGTTTGTTTCCTCGGAGCTTCTTGGCCCTTAACTTCTGGGTTTCTCATTCTGGAAAGTCATCTTGAAGTAGCCAAACGCATTCTCCGATGTCGGGACCTCAGAGGGCTCAGGGATTCATGGGCTCCAGTCGAAACTCCTAGCATCCCCCCTAATAACCCCTATAATGCTCGCTTGATTACTAAGTCTCGTTTAGACAACAAATCATATAGCTATTCTAAGGAATCCCGGGGGGCTCCTTTGAGGTCTCTGGGGTGATCTTTGAGAAGCTTCCGTGTGTGTATGGATGGGGTGGATGGCGATAAAGATGGAAGCCGGGTCCACCAACACAGAGACTTCAACCCTGTGGGGGAACAGACTGATCATCCCTGACCCTCAATTCCCAAATCCTAATCCCTTAAACTTAAACGCAAAAAACCTTAATCCCCAAACCCTAAGCCCCAATCCGTAATCCCTAAACCCTAAACCCCAAACCTTGATCCCTAAACGCAAGCCCTGATCCCAAAATTCTAAACCCTGATCCCTAAACCCAAGCCCTGATTCCTAAACCCTAAACCCCAAACCCTAATCCCTAAACCCCAAACCCTAAACCCTAAACCCCAAACCCTAATCCTTAAACCCCTACTCTCCAAACCCTAAGCATCCCTCCGCTACAAGGTTGAAACCTTGGTAATCCTGGGTGGTAATCCTTGGCCTCCTTTAGCGGCCCTAAACCTTAAAGGTTAAGGGTTTAGGGTTTAGGGTTTAGGGTATCTTTGCCATGCATTAGATGTTCGGGTAAACTGTGGTGGGGGCCTTACCACACTAAGCCCTGAAGAAGCCCTTTGGCTTAAACCCTAAACCGACAACTTAGTACACCTTAAACCCTAAACTTAGTAAACTCAGAACTTAGTAAACTCTAAACCCTAAAACTTAGTAAACCCTAAACCCTAAACTTAGTAAACCCTAAACCCTAAGCTTAGTAAACCCAAAACTTCGTAAACCCCAAGCCCTAAACTTGGTAAACCCTAAACCCTAAACTCCTAAGTTAGAGTTTAGGGTTTAGGGCTGCAACCCACAGCTCCAAACAAACTTCAGTCAAAACCCTGGAACGTAACACAAGTCCTAAACTGGGTTGCTGTTGAAAAAAATTAGTTTAAGTTACCAGAATGGGACTCTCTCTATATACCCATGTATTGATAGGTTTTCCCCAATGTAGTAGCTTAATTTAAGTTCCTCAGCAGCCCAGTAAGCTTTGCATTCTGAGCTGCTTACTGGCTTGGTGCTAAGGAACCTAAATAAAGCCACCATACATAGGAAATCCAATTAACTACTGATGCATCCTTTTTATGGTACCTTACTTTAAATTCCTTGAGCCCCCTACAGAAGCCCTACATAAACCCGAGTCTCCATTTTTCTACTTGATATTCCACCCTAAACCCATAAGTCCCCATGTAGACCCTTTATGATTTCCAAGTTCTTCAACAGCGAGCCCAGCTTAGGAATTATCTCGTCATAGCTGGGCATGATGCTGTGCAGACGGAACAGCTCTTCTTAAAGCACCTCACCTGGATGCAGAATTCTAGGACTCTGAAGGCTCCTCTTAAAGGGCTTTTGGGTTTATACAGCGGTACCCAACCCAAAACCCAAAACCCAAAATCCAAAACCCTAAACCCTGAACCCTAAACCTAAACCGCGTGACTGGGGTTAAGGGTCTAGGGGCTTGCATTGCAGGATTCTAGGAGGACTCCCTAGGATCCCCCTAAGGGGGCTCTTGGGGCTTATACTTGGATGGTCATCGCTACGCTTGCACTTCTGGGAGGTACATGGGACAACCCTAAACCCTGAGGTTTAGGGTTTAGGGGTGCAGGGGTTTAGGGTTTACTTGGAGGATCGTTTGACTTAGTAAGTCTACCTACTATCCCTGATAAGCCTTATTTTAGGCCCTATAGTCTCAGTTACTAAATGGACTTACTATGTCAAAAGATCCTCCAAGTAGTGAGTCAGAAGAAGCGGCAGTAGGTAGAGACCTTCAGGTTCTCGTGCTGCAGCTCCACTGTCCAGATTTGGACTTGCTTTTTACGGTTTTACGATCTGCGTGTTTTCTTTTTTGTCACTGGTTCTTAGTAGGGAAGAAGAGAATATAATCCCCCAGATAATCCCTATACAATGTATTCCTTTATTCCCTACAAAATCCAATAAGTCAAGCTAACCTGGTTTGCTGGGCTACTTGGTAGTTTGTATAGAGAATAGTACCAAAGAGCCTTGAGTTGGGAATGGAACTTATTCTAAATTACCCTGGGTTTGGAATCTTCTCGCTTTTCCCTTCTGATCCTGATTTTAGTGCTCTCCTCCCTGCCCCTCTTCCCAGCGTCCGTGGAGCAAAATCCTGAACCCCATGGATAAGACATCGAAGGCACCTAGGCGAAAATGACCCCTTCGTTCAAGCGGATGTCGCTGGCGCGCGCACGTGCTTCGTGCGAAATCCTGAAGGCCCAGAATGTTTTCAGCAACTAGCGGGTCACTTTACACGAGATATGTCAGCTATATGATACAGAATCAGGGTCCGTGTTTTGGTATTCCTATGATAAGGGTCACAGCATATGCAGGGTATAAAAGGTAGAGCGCTGTTTTGCAAATGCCAAAATGGCTAGTCGTTGTAATTTCGTCCGGCCCGCAGTACTGGCACCATACAAAATTGTTTTTGCAGCTGTAGGTGCGTCAGTGGCAGTAGTGGCGGCGACAAATTGTCTAGCCAGAAAATGGTTGCACTACTTGCACGAATGCAGAAACCTGAATGTTTGCCAGCTTTCTTCCCTAACAGCCCCGACAAAATTCATGGTATCATGTGCCCCAAAGCCTTTTTCCAATTATGTGGGCCCTACATTATCTCCTTCAACTGGAATCTGGAGCGAGCCCTAGTTCGGCGGCTGTTTCTCCATTACTCGCTCTCTATTTCTGAATCTCGAGATCGACCATATCTTCTCCAAAGTTGTACGATCCTTGCTTTGCGGACCCTTCAAGAAGGGACCCCTTTTATGTCAGGGGATCCCTGCAATCCCTACAAAATCCCTACTTGTACGTATTCCTTGGGGCCTATGCTTTTCGACAAGCCCTAGATGAGAGGTTGCCAACAATGCAGTTGCAAAAGCTTAAATATTAATCGAAGCCGTGGACAAAAGATGACGATACTTTGGGCCACCTAATTATTGGATTTAGGGTTTAGGGTTTAGGATTTAGGGTTTAAGTTTAGGGTATAGGATATGTCTTGAACTTTCTTTATATGTCATACCCCAGGAATGACAGTTAGTATTATGGGTGGTCCTAAGTGGTGCAAGATCCCCTCCCTCAACCATACTACTACTAGTAAGACTATGATTCGTATTTTCATTACTATTCTGATGAATACTATAACCCGTACTATAGCTAATATCAATATGGATGCTATACTACTATTTGTTTCATGTCTATTACTTCCATTACTATTAGCTTCGCTCTTCCTCATGCTATCTGCATTATTGTTATTCTTATTTTTATTACGGTTACCCTTACTGTTTTTTCTTACAACTTCTGGTATTATAAGTAAGACCTAGACCTTAAACCCTAAACCCCGAGCCCTCATCCCTAAATCCTAACCCCAAATCATAAACCCTGAATCCTACGCCCTAAATCTTAGAGCCTACATCCTAAACCCCAAATCGTAAATTCTGCATCCTACGCCCTAAACCCTAAACCCTAAACCCTAAACCATAAACCTTAGATCCTAAGCCCTCCCTGAACCCCGAAACCCTAGACCCTAAACCCCAAACCCTAACCCCTAAACCCAAAACCCCCTTCCAGGCGGAGAAGTGCCGCCAGCAACACTCCGAGAAGCTGGAACCTTGGCTCTCTGCCACAGCTCGGCCTGGGAGTCCCGACCTGACCTGGTCCAAGGAGGCATATGAACTGTAGTGGTTTAGGGTTTAGGGTTTAGGGGTTTGGGGTTTGGGGTTTTAGGGTTGAGGGGTTTGAGGTTTGGGGTTTTAGGGTTTAGGGGTTTAGGATTTAGGGTTAAGGCTTTCCCAAAACTAGGGGTGTCATGAGGGATATATAGGCTTATAGAGGGTTATATTGGGTTATTATAGGGTTATAGGGTTAAGGGTTTCGGGTATAGGGTTTAAGGGTTTAGGGTCTAAACTCCTCAGGGGGGGATATATATAGGGGATCATATAGGGTAGTACTATAGGGCTTATGCGGGGGGATACTAGGAGTTTAGACTATAGCTCACATCAGGCTTGCCAACGGACCATTAAGGGTTAAGGGATTAAAGTTAGGGCTCAGGGGTTTGGGGTGGGAAGATTAGGGTTTAGAATTTAGGGTTACCAAAGAACTTCTAAGACCCTTTGGTAGCTTAGTATAGTCCCCAATCTAGTCCCTAATAAACACCCATGTTCAGTAGCTATATGGAAAACATTGACAGTAGCTCATATAGGGTTTAGGTTGTGATAGTCGCATTAGAAGTTATATGAAAGGCTAAAGAGTTTTTTTTTTTTAATCCTACTGCATTTTTCGTACCATGTTCTTATTTGCTTTAGGGCTTAGTGCTCGTGTTTTATGGTCTAGTTGTTTTTGAAACGTTTGTGGTGTAGGATGTAGGATTTGTGTTTAGGGTTTACAGCTGAGGGTTTAGTTTAGGGCTTAGTGTTTTGGGCTTATGATTTAGGGTTGAATGTTTAAGGTTTAGGCTCTTCTTGTGGGGGGGGGGGCTTAGGTTATAGTAGTTTCCATTTTCTTTTCCATTCTCCCTATATAACCCCAATATATCCCCAGTATTATAGTAGTTTCCATTTTCTTTTCCATTATCCGTACAGAAGCCTTTGGGGATTTCAGGCCTAAACCCTAAACCCTAAAAGAGCTCTATTTCCCTAAATTAGGGGCTACCCTTTAAAGGGTTTTATAGGGGTTATATAGGGGTATATAGGGTTTAGGGTTTCCTAAAATTAGGGGGTACCTTTTTGCAGGAGCTTAGGGGCTTAGGGTTGTTTTGGGCGTTAGCGCATTCGGGGTTTCTGGTTTAGGGTGGGTCCAACAAGGGCTTGTAGAAAAGATATTGGTCGCCTAAACCCTAAACCCTAAACCCTAAACCCTAAACCTTTGCCTCTACGAATATGGTGGTTCACACAACTTCCAAAGCTAGGACCAAATAAGACTAAGGGAGGCCACGTACTTGCTATCCTAAGATGGTCCAAGGTTTTGGGAATGAGCTCTATTTGGGGGTTTCCCAAAATTAGGGGTACCTTTTTTGGGGGTCCCCAATAAGGACTATAGTATATTAGGGTCTATATTGGGGTCCCCTTATTTTGGGAAACTACCATTTCTAAGTTTGACAACTGCTTCTCTTTTGGGTTTCGGGGTTTTGCATGGGTTTGTGCCCCTGGCCCCCGACCTAATTGTATTAGAGGAGTTGATTGTTTCTAAACATCTTTGAGGGGGGCCCGGTTCTCCCACCATAGCCACATGCATCCAAATGGTCCCATGTGGTATGCTCTTTGACACAACCTCAACCCTCCAAACATGAAAACGTCACCAGAAAAGCGGCGCAGGGTTGAACAAAAGCAAACATACAGCTGTTTTCTCTACCGAAACCTACCCTAAACCTTGCACCTTAAACCCTAAGCCTCAAACCTTGGACCTAAAACCCAAACCCAAATCCTAAATGTTCAGAGTCAGGATAAGCAGATCGTGATCTCAGCCTGGTGGGTGCCGATTACGCAGGTCTCGCGAGGCAGCTCGTCCAAGACTGCCTTCAGGGTTTAAGGTTGAGGGTTTGCGGATCAAGGCTGAGGGTTGAGGATTTGAGGTTTAGGGCTTAGGGATTCAGGTTCTAGGGTTCATGGTTAAGGGTCATGGGTTTCGGGCTTAGCGTTTTGGGTTTAGGGCGAGGATCTTCAGGTTTGGGGTTGAGGGTCTCCTGAGGAATGGTTGCAGGGAGGACATAAGGATCTCCATAGAAGCTGTCAGGGTTCTGGCTGCGATTTCACATCTCCCCAACATGAGGACATCTGCTGTCCTGTTTCAGCGCTCAGAGGACTTCTACTGTAGACTGCTCGCTTGCCTTTTCAGCGCTCAGTTTTTTGCGGTTTAGAGGGGTCCCTGGGCTGCAGTCACTACATTCACTACAGCACATTCTCCAGGGGCCTCTGTTTGAGGTTCCGAAAATGAAGGTCATGGGGTCCCCGAATTATGGGAACTACCCTATCTTGGGTGGTGGCGGTTTGAACCTTAAGGCACTTGACACTAGAAATGCCGGTCTTTGATCTGAGCATATATTCAGTCTCCAGGAGCCCGCCTTCAGGTAGAACCCGTCTTCCCTAATGCGCTCCCCTCCCAACATTCTCATGGTTTCTGTTGTGGTCATCTTCAGACCTTCTCCTCCTTTCCTCCCCACTTTCCCAAGTCAGGCAAGGCCCCAGAGGGCGAGCATTTGAGCATTGATGACTTCTTCGTTACAGGGCGAAGGCACTTCATGCCACCGCTGCACTTAGAGCCGCTGGGGCGCTATTTAGGTAAGGGGATTTACGGTCTAGGGTCTTAGCGTTTAGGTTGCCATTCCTCGAGTCGAACCCTAGTACCCTTAGCCCTATACCCAACGCCCTAACCCCCTTAACACCCTTAACCCCAAAAGCCCAAGCCCCAAAGCCCCCGAACCGCCCCAATGAGTTCAGGATGGGCATGACGCTGCTTTTCCAAGTCTCGGAAAGTAGCTGTGCGGAGCGCCACAAGGCCAATTACTTGAGGTCGTTTTGGGAGATGAATACCCCATACTCAGGAACATACCTGAAATCAGATTAGGTATCCTGGGTTTAACCCTGAAATGATTCAGATTACTTCTCTCGGTTTCTTCAAACTGAGGCGCCCCATAGGCACCGAAGGGTGTAGGGGCCAATGTCAACTATTGTTGTTGAGAACTTTTCTGCAGGTATAACCCAGCCCTAAAGCCAGGTCATCTTTCCAGGTATCCTCATTCTGAACCTGCTTGCTACTGTAAGCCCCCCAAACCCTAAGTACGTCTCCCCTAACCCCGATCCCCAAACCCTGAATTTCCCAAGCCTCCTCAGGGGTCCGTGTAATCCCCTAAACCCCTGAAACCCGCAACCCTTAAACCCCTAACCCTAAACCCCTCCGGTGTGGAGGGCGAGCGCAAGAGCCGGTATCTCGAAGCCATGGCTAACAAACCCGAAGCAGAGGCACGCCTTGGCCTATGAAGCGCCCTTAGGGTTTAGGGGTTCAGGGTTTAGGGTTTAGGGTTTAGGGTCCTGCAAATCCCATATACTCAGCTTCCATTCCATTCTCCGTCATCTTTTTCCGGCTTTTGATGTTGGATGCAGGTTTCATACTTCAGGGATCGGAGGGATTGGGGTGCAGGGTACAGGTTATTGCTACCCACTTCCATCTTATCATACCCTCAGGTTCCCCGGAACTAGCCTTTCATCAGCCTTATTTATCCCTGCGTAACTATAGTTCAGGCTGGGTACTGCCCCCACTCTGTAGCAGTTGAAATTTCATTTTATGACCCTTACTATAATATCAATATAGACTTTTACAGGGTGGGGGCAGTACTCACGATTAAGGGGGAGCTAGGGATTGTAGCAAAGGGGTGGGTGGGTGGGTAGGTGGGTGGGTGGGTGGGTGGGTGGGTAGAAGTGCGTTTAGGGTTTAGAGCGGCACACCAACATTCTTGCAGGGCTGCTAGAGTCTAGCTAGAGGTGTCCGCGGCAGTGGAGAGTTAGGCTTGGCATTTTGGCGATAGGGCTTGAGTTTTGGGGTTCAGATGCTCAGAAGATCTAGGATTCTGGGTGTAAGGTAACGTGTTTAAGGTTCGCTTGTGGTTAAGTGGGTCAAAGAAAGGGGCCCAGATTATACAACTCCTAAATTCCATGCCCAGTAGCTTAACATAAGATCCATGCAGAACCCGAACGCCAACCCCCCCAACCCGCCACCAAGTGCAAAAGCGCCACATGGGGCCCATCTTGGCGCCCCTAGATTTTGGGTGCCGTAATATACCTTATACCCAGCAGGTAAGGTGTCCATCATTTTGAGAAAACCCCAAATAGACAACCCGAACGACACCCCGTGCGGCCTTTTAACGAACTCTTCATCTTTCCTTTCATGTTACATTTCATTTTAGCTGTTGTGGCTGTTACCTGTCACTCATGGCCATGAAGATCAGCAACGCCATTGCTCCCGCTCTGACCCTTCCCGTTCATATCCTGAGCCCTCCGCCCTAAACCGCCTAAACCCTTAAACCGTAAAGTGCCTGGGCGCCTAAACTTCCGAAGCCCTGAACCCTAACCCGTCTAAGCCCTAAAACTGCAGTTTCACAAGATGAGGGGACCCCAATCTAGACACCAAATATATCACAATCCTATTTCATTGGTACCCCAAAATGGTGCCCCCAAATTTGGGAAACCGCCCAGTTTCCCTGAGGAGGATGCTCAGGAGCCTGAAGAGACGGTCGAGATCGAAGCTGCAAGTGACTTGCCTGATCTGAGGACCACACAGACCTATCCAGGATTCCATAGGTTTGAAGGCAAATATGAATTGTTATGACTCTTCATCCCTATCTAGTGTCTATTAATCCATACAAGACTGCATGGTTCAGTACCTACCCTAGTATTGTGGATGAATCTTTGGTTGGAACTATGGGTCCCCGGCATGGGTCCTTGAAATCCCTTGTAATCCTGGGTCCTCATATGTTTGTTGCTTTTTTAAATATAAAGCCTTACAACCCAGTTAGGGGCCCATAGTCAGCACCAGGAAGCAGGTAGGGACTTGGGCTTAGGGCCCTGAACCCCCAGCACCCCCTAAACCCGAAGCCTAAACCCGAAAGCCAAAACTACCCTAAACCCTAAACCCCAAACCCTAAACCCTAAATCCTAAATCCTAAACCCCAAAACCTAAACCCACAAGCAAGGCGACGGGCCTGAGGAAGAGGATGCCGAGGACCAGCAAAGCCAAGGAGGCGAAGAAGGGGCCGAGCACGAGGACCGGTTCAGGGTTTTAGGGGTTTAGGGTTCAAGGTTCAGGGTTTAGGGATTTAGGGTTCAGGGATTAGGGTTTAGGGTTTACATAGCGATAATAAGGGAGAATCGAATAGAACAAATGCCAATGGAAAGCAGGGGAAACTGAGTTTATCTAGAGGTTGGAATAGGAGTGTCATTCCATGTAATTAGGGCCGGGGCTGACAGAGTTAGAATAGGTTTGGGCTACTCATGCGAGAAGTATATGAGGAACAACATAGCTGTAATTTTTCAGGCTTCTACCCTACTTGGGGCCTGGTACGGAGGTAGGGAATCAGTCACTGCATGATGAAGCACTGCGATATGACAGCCGTCCGTTTGACAAGCCTGGAGTTTAGGGGTTTAGGGAGCCCCAAGCTCATTTCTACAATGCATTCTCTGCGTTTTTTTAATGACCCCACTGCTGGTGCTGGTGGTGCTGCTTTTGCTGATTCTGTCACGGCTCTGGCTACCGTTCGTGATACAGCAAACAACAACATCATCAACAACATCAGCCCTCCTGCTGCTACGTAGGCTACTGCCCCCAATGTTGCTACTGCTACTGCTGTCGCTATGTTTCATTTGCTGCTGTGACTAAATTTTCTTTTATTACAATGACTTCAGTGTGAATTATTAATGCTACTACATCGACCTTGCAGGTGCGTAGTAGTGTAACGGCCATGTTGCTCCAAGGACCCGGAAGCCGATCCTTCTGATGCTCCAGCAGAAGACGGCGGTGCTCCTGCGGAGGATCCGAGCCAAGAAGTCGAGGACGCCCCAATTGAAATCTAGGGGTAATGGGGAATATACTGAGTAGGGATGTACCATGGTTATAATAGGATAATGGAAAACAAAATGGAAACTACAATTTAGGGTTTAGGGTTTAGGGGTTACAAGGGTGTAGGGGGTTGCGTTCGCATTGAAGGCTTCTGGAGCATGTGGTTCTTGTGGTTCCTGCTTCAGGGCAAATATCCTCTCGAGGCAGAACTCCAGTCCTGGCGTACTAAAACACCAATGGAAATTGTGCTTCACGACTGACATGGCAGTTCAAGCAGCGGATAGTCAGCGTTGTGGCCCTTGCCTTACCGGGGGTAGTAGGGAATATGAAAATATACCGTATATGGATTATATAGAGATTATATTCCCTTATTCCCTACTATAGGCCCAGTAAATACAACATTACACAAGTAGTACTTTCCTTTTTCTTTTCCATTATCCCTATTTAATCCTAAACCCTTTTATTCCCTTATTGCCTACTGCGAACCAGGGAGTGGCTTCTTCTTCCAATAGAGTCTACATTTACCAGGTTTTGGGTTTAGGGTTTAGGGTTTAGGGTTTAGGTTTTAGGGTTTAGGGTTTAGGGTTGTAGAGTCTACATTTACCAGGTTTTGGGTTCAGGGTTTAGGGTCACGAGGTGAAACCGCTATCCTGCGGCAACCGACTGTCCTTGCACTGAAGACCATCAGCCCCTATACTCCTAACCTCAATCTGTGGACCCTAGCCCCGGAACCAGAACCTTGCCTTAAGCCCCAAACCTTACTTCACCCCCAAACTAAATGACACTGGGCTTATTCATAACTTCCCCTATTGTTTTATAGGGGAGCCTATTCAGAAATGGGTTAAGGTGCCTGTACAAGACCACCCCGCAAAACTTCGTGCCCAAACCCCAACCCTAGATTAACCATCCTAAGCCCTCCAATCTCTCCTGGCCAAAACATACACCACATCGGTAAGGTGGACCCCCAACCCTGTACTAGTGGTTATAAAGGATAATTAGGACCATCTTTGGGTTCTCTTATATTCCTATTATACCATTATATCCCTAAACCCTAAACCCTGAGCCCTATTCCAGGGTGGGGGGGTCCTCCTAACATATCGGGTGCACTTATTGTCAGGGGTGTTCATTATTTAGGGGAGGGGATTATAGCAACCTCACCAGACTGCACCTTTAAATGGTCATTTTTGTGGAATATCTCCAGCAGTTAGGGTTTAGGGTTCAGGGTTTAGGGAGTAGGACTTGTTTCAGGGTTTGGCATTATTGTACTGTGGGAGATTCTCAAAACAATCCCGATGTAATCCCTCATAAGCCCCTCATGACCCCAATCATCCCTTTATGAACTGTAGTCTAAACTCCTGAAAGGCTGGTTATATAGGGGATTATAGAAGGGACTACTATAGGGGAGGATACTAGGAGTTTAGACTAGAGCTCATATGCCCTTTGGGCTCCCTAGAGCTCCCCATGTTGAGAAACTGCTACCGTAATTGTCCAAACCCTAAACCCTTAAACTCTAAAGCATTAATCCCTAACTCTAAACACTAAATCCAGTTTTCATGGGTTTCCTTACTACCCCCTCTATACTATATTACCCCCTTGGTTCCCCCTTAACCTAAATTAGGCCTAATTATCCCAAAATAACCTTAATTAAGGGGGGAAACCTATAGGGGGGGGGATTGGTAGGGGAACCCATGAAGTTTGAGCCGAAGGAAGGCGAGAAGAGCAAGGGGGGCAAGATGCGAGTCTCCCGGGCAGAGCGCAGGCTCCTTGTAGGGTTTTGGGTTTAGGATTTAGGGTTTAGGGGTTTAGGGTTTGGGGGTTTAGGGGTTCAGGGTTTGGGGGTTTAGGGGTTTAGGTTTTAGGATTTTGGGTCTAGAGTTTAGGGTTTAGGACCGGGGGTGTAAGGTTTAGGATGGATTTAGGGTTAAGGCCTTAGGGTTTAGGACGTAGGATTTAGGGTTTGGTAAGCCTTGGGTAAATGAGTAAATTTGACAGCTTTTATGTGGATGTAGATTGGTTTGAGGTTCGGGGCAGCAAGATAGTTTTCTGGAAGCTTGCGGAAGGCGAAAAGCATTCTATGAGAGGAAGGTTTCTCTGCCTATGCATCTGAATGATCCCAAAGACCCCGGCGCCTTCAATATGAGCGGCCGTATCATGTTAGGGAGCCCCAAAAGGGACTACCATGTTGACAAGCCGCCAGTGCCTGTGCAGCCTGTGGCGAGGCGGCAGAAGAAAGATGACATAGAGGAGGAAGAGGCTCGAAGTGTCTGTAGCCATTTTGCTGGAGTTTCTGGGTTGCTGTTAAGGAACTTAAATTAAGTTACCATAATGTGTATATATAGCAAATAATAGGGTTTCCCCAATATAGTAACTTAATTTAAGTTCCTTAACAGCAACCCAGGTTTTGTACAGATTACGTAGAGATGAGTGCCAGTGGTCTGGGTTCGGGGTTTTAGGATAAGGGTCTTTCCATATTTAGCAACCTTGTAGAACATTGGCACTTATACAACATATATAAAACCCAGTCGTATTTGGAATGAATATCAGACAGGTCGTATTTAGCATTTGCGGCTTAGGTTTAGGGTGTAGTTGAGCAGCATCAGTGTCATTGGTGCGACTTGTACCATTAGCGTGGATCCATGCGGGCACTGACGTTTGCCTACACATTCTAGGGGCAATATTCTTGAACTCTAGACTCTGAACCTCCAAACCCACAACCCTAAACCGTATATTCTTAGGAATGCACGAGGCGTTGGTGGTTTATGCAGGAGGGCTTCAAAGCGCCTGCCCATGGCAGGGGTTCCGAAGCCTGGACTCCTGTGTCTGCCATAACTTGGGCTCAAACCCCACCCATTTCACATAGAGTCAACACTAGCAGTAGTTGCAATTATAATATAAGTCTAACATATTCCCCTATCTATGACTGTTAGTGGCCAGCGGGAGAGCACGGACTATCAGCGATATTCCTGCTGTCAGTCGGAGTCAGGAGGCCCTACCAGCGGTTTTTGCTGATGACCATGCGCATGAAGGAGCCCTTAGTCCCGAAGCCTCTTTCAAACCCTAAGCCGTGCAACTTCTTAAACACTTCTTAAACGATGCCTTTCTTGCCTGCCAGGAGGAAGTGGAAGTTCCCAAGAAGCTGGCCGACGCCAAGTCGAAGGGGCAAGTCCGCCTTATTGCTGGGAAGGGTTTAGGGTTTTTGGTTTGAGAGTCTAGTTTAGGGTTCAGTTTAGGGTTCTAGGGTTCAGGGTCTAGCTTTTGTAGTGTGAGGATTTAGGATCCTAGGGTTTGGGACTCAAATCACGTGGCCCCAGCCTGAATCCTAAACTCTCAATCCCAAAGCGGATTATTCTCAAGATTACAGGCCCCTTTGGGTGGTAGACCATATTACGGCACCTGATATCTAGGAGTACCAAGATGGGACCCTAATTTTGGGAATTACCCTAAACCCTAAAACCCTAAAACCCTAAAACCCTAAACCCTAAACCTGCCCTAAACCCCTAAACCCCTAAAGCCCTAAACCAAAATGTTCATGCCAGGCCCAGCGTGGATCATCTCCCTCGAGGGCAGAAGTCGAAGGCAGGGACTGAACCTCCGAGTCTTTGGTAAAGAAGTTAGTAAAGACGGCTTGCAGGTGGTTGTGCATAGGGGGTTCCGGCACATGAGTTGTGGGTCCCCCCTTTTTAGAGTTAGTAAAGAAGTTGTACAGGATTTCTGGTTCAGGGTTTAGTGTTCAAGGTCTGGGGTTTAGGGCTTAGGTGAAGAAGTCTTGGGTCTAGGGCTTAGGCAAGAGGGTGAGGGATAAGGGTTAAGTTAAGGGTTCAGGGTTCAGTGTTCAGGGCCTAGGATTCTGAAAAAATGGTGTTTGGGGTAAGCAAGGACCCAAGGACTGCCACATGACTCTCCTCTTTGGGGATTGAGGTAGCCAAAGCTGCCTGGCAAATGTAAGGCTATCTAAGCACCCGGCCTTAAGCCAACATGCAGCCCCCGGTACCAAAGCTGGTCAGTTAAGTCAACATGGGTTTAGGGTTTAGGGTAATTTCCCTCAGTAGCCATAGTTAGGCTGGTGTTTGCAAACGCAGGGATACCCAACCTATCGGGAGACATACACACAGTATCATCACTGTTGTGCGTTTGGAAGGTCTACGTGTTTTAAGCAAGTTGATGGTTGGTTGCGGCCGTATAGTGAGTCTAGTACCACTGCTGCCTTCTGAAGCTTCTACTGCTGCATCTCCTTGCTACCTCTGCTTCCTTCCGGCGCGCGCCCGTACCGGGTCCTCAGGCAAAGAAGATGAAAGAGAAGTATGCCGACCAGGCGTTTGGGATGATCTTTTCCATTTTGCGATGGCGTAGGATGTGATAGGCTGGCTTAACATCAGCGGGCTTTGTTGTGCTAATCGATGATGAGAGCCATGCTCTGCTTCAGGCAGATAGGGCCAGGAGGTTTTGAATCCTAATATGCTTCTGACGTTGCTGTTCTATCTATGGGTATTCCGGGATCTCAGAGCTCGAAGGGGCCATACCTTTCCAGGCTCATCTGTGACAATGTCGGGCTGGTTAGGACGCAAAGGCGGTCATTACGAGAGCAGAACCCTCAACCCTACACCCTAATCCCTAAACCCTAAAGAGTAGTTTCCATTTTCTTTTCCGTTATCCCAACAAAATCCCAATATGTTCCCTTATCCCCGATATAGTTGAGGGTGTCGAAAGTTCATTCAACTGGTTGAAGCATCCTTAGTCTGTTCATTGTGTCAGGCCACATGGCCACATGTCCATCTGCAGCAGCTAGGGTGCTGTATACATCAGCAGGTATTTTGGGGCAGAGAGGCAAACCAACTTTGTGCTCCCATTTCTTGGCTGGTTTTTTCCTGGCTCTTAGGACTTTAACTCCTTGGATTTCCTATAAACCATACTAGGCGAAAAGTCTACTCTTGCGTCTTAGCAGCAGCCTGCAGTCAGCTAAGATTAGATGAGGTCTGCTTCTTGGGACGTCCTGATGTTTGCTGGCCGCAGCCATGCTCAGGCGTGCCGTGCCACACCTCGAGGGATGCTGATACTGACCATCAACATACCTTGTTCTGGCACACAAGAGGCAGATATAGCGGCAATTCCAAAGTCCTTGTTGTTTCCGCCGTGCCGTCTTGTTTCCTCAGCGCTGGAAATTCGGCTACGCCTGATGTGACAAAGGCGTTTCTCAACGTGAGTGTCTCGTCATGTAACCTGAAGATCAGAAAGTCCGTCTTACAACGCCAAAAGAAAGAGCCGACGATAGTGTTTTTAAACGCCCCTGTCACTGTCCTTCCTTGCGTCAGACAGAATCATGGCTTCTTTGACCCTTCCCCCGCCAGACCCCTTCCCCCCCCTTCTCCTGGGTTGCCGTCAAGGAGCTTCAATTAAGTTACTATATTGGGAAACCCTATTATTTAGTAAATATACCCATTATGGTAACTTAATTTAATCCCTATGTAGCCCCTATGTAACCCCGCTTTCTGCAGCATTTTCCATTTTCTTTTCCATTTGATTCACTATTGTTTCGGGGATTACTATGCTAACTTAATTTGAGTTCCTTACCATTAACAGCAACCCCCTCTTGTTAACTTAGTCTGAGTTCCTTAACAACAACCCCTTTCTCAGTGCTTGGGCTTGAGGACGACGACGAGCGAGAGCTGCGCCTTGCACTTCTGGGCAGCCTCTCCCTCAGGGCTTGATCTGCAAAGGCTTCAGGCAGGAAATATAGCAATATGTAAGTAAATATAAGGATAGAAACATAGCGACATATCTATATATATATATATGTTTACACGCACGTACATAGGGATGTACCGTATAATTGCATATATATATATGCTATAAATTCAGAGGGATATGGAAAGGATGTATATATATATATACATATGAGCACATGTATATATGTAGCGAGAGAGGGTCTAGGGATTAGGGTCTAGGGTTTAGGATGCTGCAGTAACCGTGGAAGATGTTTGACCTTCTAGTGCAAGCTGCTCCCTATCCAAGATCCAGTTTGGGAAAAAGTAGGATCAACGCAACATCTTCTGGCTTTGTACATGGGATCCAGGATTTTCAACTTGGCAAAAGGCTTTACAACGGGTTCGAGGATTTAGGAGTAGTTTCCATTTCATTTTCCATTATCCCTATATAACCCCAATATACTATAGTAGTGTCGATAACGGGTATCCGGAGATTATTGCAAGTCGCTTTGAAGGGTCCATGTGAAGCAGGCCGCATGGATTTTCCAAAGCTGGGGGGGACTTCCTTGAGGGGCCCTTTCCAGTTATATTGGGGGTATATTGAGATAATGGAAAAGAGAATGGAAACGGTCATATACTATAATGGAGTCTATACTGCGGTTATATTGGGATAATGGAAAAGAAAATGGAAACTTCTATTCAGGGTTTGTTGAGATGCACCTTTGGGGGCATCTGCTTCTGAGCAAGCTATCAACCCTCTCTTCGCAACTGCTTTGCCAGATAAGGCCGCAAGACCAAGCGAGCTGGAGGTTCGGTGTAGGTCATCAGAAAAGGAGTAGTCCATACCTGGGAGTTCAGAACATGAACCCTCTATCATCCAACAAGGGGCCCTAGATTGCCAGTAATGACGATCCCCATGTATTGTTAGGGTCTACGGCTACTAGGGAGTATTTCGGCAATATATACATATGCGTACATGTACATGTATACATAAATACATATATGTATATATACACATATGCGCATGTATACGGGTTCTATGCGCAAGGCGGGCATGAGGATGGTAACAGTATCATGAAAACAGGGGATTTAGGGTTTAGTATTTAGGGTTTAGGGTTTAGGGTTTAGGGTTTAGATGCAACTGGTGGTAGCTCCTCCAGCTTTTGCTGGGATTTGGGAGTTCTCTGTCTGATGCCAGCCGTGAGTTCCTGTAGCGCCAAACCCTGCGGTTCTCGTGGCCCACTCAGAATACTAATCCCTGTATTAACCCCAATTTCCATTTCGTTTTCCATTTGATTCTCAATTTTTGGGATTAAACCCTAAACCCTAATCCCTCAACCGTAAACACATGGAGGTGAAGGGACCAAAGAGGGCAGCGTCCTGGCCTCCGGGTCCAACCCTCAGGAAAGCAGAAGGAATTAATTTAAGGGTTTAGGGTTTAGTTACTTTTGTGATCTTAAGTCCTTCCGAGGTCGGAACTCAAGTGTGAGACCCCTTGCTGAGGTATTCGGCTAACACTTCCGATATGAGCCATAGTCCATACCTTGAACAGGGTTATACATAGGGGATTATATAGGGGACTATTATAGGTGAAGATAAGAGGGATACTAGGAGTTTAGACAATGGACCGGTAGTGGTGCATTTTGCAATGCCAGCCTCGGGTTGAGACAGTGATGGTGCTTCATGAGGTTGAGCGCAATTTGTTCGGCATGCTGTAAGGATCCGAAAGCCCTTTGGCCGTGAGATCGTTGGGAGGGGATCTCATTTTTTATTTTCATCGATAGAACTTTGCTGTTGAGTTTGAAGTGCTTTGAGTCATGCTAGGAGTTTAGACAATGGCTATGTCAGCATCCTCTTTGGTGTTCTGAGTAGCTCTATAATCCTGATTACCATTGTTTGTTGCATCAATATCTATATACGCCATAAACCAATATAATGAGTGGTTCAATTTATTTCTCCATTCCCCTGTACAACTCGATATTATCCCATCATTATCGTTCTCATGATGCATGCTGGAAGCTGAGGGGAACGGGAGGCACCGATGCCAGCAGCGAAACTGCGCAGGCCTGGAAATGTCTAAGGCCTTCGGGCCCCATTTTAAGAGGGCACATATGAATTGACCTGTATATATATATATATGAATATATATATGTATATATACATATGTATATGTATATATGTATGTATATATATATACACATACATATATATATATGTATACAGAGAGCTATAGCTGAGAGAGGGGGGAGATCATGTAGGCTTCAGGGATATGGGTTTAGCCATCCCCCCCCCCTCACCCCCCAGAAATTTTGCGTTGCAGGCTGACACTGGAACAACTGGTGAGCAGAATGCCCGGCACCTGGCTACCAAAATGTGTGTCACCGTGGTCATCCACGTTATTTTCAGCAGGCTCTCGATCCTAAACCCTAAGCTCTAAACCCTGAACCCTAAGCCCTATAAAACCCTAAACCCCTAAACCCTAAACCTCTAAACCCTAAAACCCTAAAACCCTAAGCCCTATAAAACCCTAAATCTTAACCCCTGCAGGAGTCCACAAGGTGAGCTCCGGGCGTGATGTAGCTTTAGGTAGAGTTTAGGGTTTAGGGTTTAGGGTTTAGGGCTACAGGGGCCTTGACATAGGGGATATTACCCCAATAACGGACAAGCAAATGGAACAGAACGTGGAGAATTAAATGGACACCGCTACATAAACAGATTCTGTAGGGACTATATAGGAATATTGAATATTACCACTAATGGAGAATCAAATGGACATGAAATGGAATATGAAATGGAATATGAAATGGAGCATGAAATTCACAATGAAATGGGAACTGGGCTTATATGGGGCTTGTAGGGGTTATGTAATGTAGGGGCCTAAATTATTATCAACATTATGGTAGATTCTTGTATAACCAGAGTATAGGATACCTCAAGAAGACTTCACACGGATATCGGTAATTCGTTAGGCTCTTGTATTAGATGGTAACACCGTGGGCTCTCATCCAACTGACAGACTTGCAGGACAAGCAGGGTGTTTTCCCTGATTCCTGCTGCACTGAAGTGAAGCAGCAGCCAGCCGCCGATGTTGCGCGCAGCATGGTACAGAAGCCTACATAATTCCCAACTTTATGGTCTTTAAATCATTGTACAGTCATAGAAATAGACCCCACATGATATTGCTAATCATTTGGGCCCCTACATTCCATAATCCCTCAATGCCCCTATATAATCTCAGTTTCCATTTCTTTTTCCATGTTCTGTTCCGTTTGATTCTCCATTATTGTGGTAATATCCCTAAATCCTGAGCCCTCAACCCTAAACCCTGCTGGCTTTAGAATGTGACTGTGCTGTCGTCGTTGCCTCTGCAGTTGGATTTTTGTGGAAAGTCGTAAAAATTGCGGCCCCTTCTCGGGTACCCTAGATTTAGGGTTAAGGGTGAAAGGGAGAACAATCTTCGCAATCCACTACCAGTGGCGTAGTCGGAAGATCGAGGGGCCATGAGTCAAACGAAGCTATCCTTTGTTGTCACTATTCATGGGTGGGGGCATGACATTCCTGTAGCCCTACTATATGCACCTAAATAACTGGTATGCTCCCGGACTCCTTGCAAAATATTATCACAGGGTACCAAAATCGACTTCAACAAGTTATTGGTAATGGTTTAGGCCCCTGCGCTTGTCCCTTCCCTAGTATCAAAACCTACCCGCTCCCTGATATGAAACATTCCCAAAACATTATCGTTTTTGGGAATACTTAAACTTAGGGGCTTGAACTTGATATGAGCGGGATGTGATTACTGTAAACCCACTGCCCTAAACCCTGATCCTTAATCCCTAAGCCCAAACCCTCAAACCTAATCCCTAAGCCCTAGACCCATCCATGGGTGGTTGTTAAAATTATGGTCCCCTTTTGGATCCCTATTATACTACGGCACCTAATATTTAGGGTACCCAAAAAGGGACCAGAATTTTGACAACCACCCCCATGACTCCTCAAGTTCTGCGGAGGCATCCCAGCCGAAGGACCAGACAGGTGGCGAGTCGGGAAGGCAAGGGCTGCAAGTCTCACAGAAAACTATAGGGTTAGGGTTTAGGGTTTAGGGTTTAGGATAAGTTGGGTAATTCCCCCACCCAGTAACTATCCTTAAAGGGGCCTTCTTAAGGGGCTAGTATAATTCCTATTACCCCTTGTGGTAACAGTTACTGTAAGGGGGAATGGCCCAGAGTATAAGATAGTACCATATCATTGAATATAGTACAACATCATATAGTTTGTAGTCTACAATAGATAGTATAGAGTACATAGTATAGAGAACACAGCATATGGTAGTACAGTATGGCGTACGGTATGGTAGGGTATAGGGTTGAGGACTTGAGTTTGCGGCTCAGAGTTGACCATGTGATGGATTGAGGGTTCGGCCTAGGGATCTAGGGTTTAGGGTTGAGGGGTGTGTGTGTGTGTGTGTGTGCGTTTGTGTGTATGTTTGAATTTGGGGTAAGGTTAGATGAAAAGTCATTGTATGTGGCTTATTCTAGGGATTGTTGCAGGTGAACCTAGACGCCCATAGTTCCTGAAAGGTACGGCCTTTTCGCGGGGAAGGGCTTCAGATTTTGCTCGTACTTAATGATACACACACTTCGGCATGTAGGAAGTTAAAGTTGCATGCAGCACCACTACGTGGTCCATTGCTATGTAGGAATTCCAATCTTTCAATGCATCCCCAATATAGACCTCAAAGTAGTATCATTATCAGGACCCCCAAAAAGGTACCCCTAACGTTGAAAATCCTAAGCCCTAAACCCATACATAACCCCTATGTCCCCCTTTCAAGGTGCACCTAATTTTGGGACATCCCCTCCAGCCTGCTACCACAACCCTGGTCGGATTGGAATGTAGACCTGATCGGTTAGATTCTAACCGAGAACACAGTCATGATAGGATCCTTGAGAACGAGAATTAAGCCTTTCTATACTATACTATGCTATAATACAATACTACAATATAGTATATAATGCTATATTAGAGTATAGTATACGATCATATAGTATAATACACTGTAACATGCTATAGTATAGTATACTATAACCTGAGGCTGCTGCAGTATTCTGTCCTTGCTCTCTAGCTCTTTTGGCTGGTATTGGCGTTCCCACCATGACTGATGATGCAATGGTTCTTGGCACATCTTGACGCGAGCATTCTGGCTTTGACTGGCCAAGCCTTGACCTCCCAAACCTCTATAGTCCCCCTTGAGTAGATAGAATAAGGGTTTAGGGTTTAGGGTATATAGTCCCCCTTAAGTAGATAGAATATGGGGTATATGGGGATCTTATTATGATATACCCAAAGCCATGTTCTATCTACTTCAGGAGGACTAAAAGCCAAAGCAACTTATCCCCTAAGCCCTAAACTCTCCAACCCCTCAGCCTTACATCCTCAAGCCCAAAGACCAAACTCCCTTCAACCTGTACAACGTTAGGGTTTAGGGTTTTAGACCCTTTATCTCAGAATCCCCTCGAAACCTGACGGCGCAAGCTGACTAAATGCCATGCAATCACCTAAGGTTGCGCTACACTACGTCTTCAAGGGCCCCAAAAGTTAAACCCTAAATCCATACGGGGATTTCCCAGACTGGGGGATACCTTTTTGGGGTTCCCAATAGTAAGGATTATAGTTATAGTATATTGGGGTCCCCCTATTTTTGGGAAGCTGCCATATTATGAGCCCATGTTTTGGATCCTTCAAAAGCAGGAAGCCCCAGCGGCGTCAGCAGTGGCCTGCTCAGGACATGTAAGTAGTATTTTATTTGGGGATACTATGGTACCCAATGTAGAGTAAGATTACATCCTCC